TTTGTGGGGGACCAGGTCACTGTTTAGTTAACTGGCCTATAGCTAAACTTGATGTGTTTGGTGTTTATCTACTTCACTGCTTTCAGCATTTATGGCATCCAAACACTACCAATTGTTAACCTGTGCATTACTCTCTGCATGTGAACAACTTATACAATTACTGAACTTTGTAAATACGTGATTTTTTTTTATTTAGGTGGATGCATATGTTGGTTTACTGCTCTTCAGCTTTATTCAATAAACTTATGTTTTGAGGGTTGTATTGACACTTAACTGCCTGACTTGAGTTGATGTGGCTGAAATCATGGAAAAACACAATGGGATGTCTGTCTCCTCTGCCAAAGATTCCAGTGGGGGAAGAAGGATTGGTAAATACCTGAGCTGATTTATAGTCTGTGGTTCAACTATTCCAGTGAAATGCTCACAAAACTACCTTTGAGGCCTGGGGCTTGCTCACCTTACCTGAGCAAGCTCGGACAGTCAGTCTGAGCAGATTGCAGGGCTTTTTGATGTGTGTGAAAAGCACTGGTCAGCTGCAGGGTCTGAAGCAGGGGCAGCCTTCTGGAGCTCAGTTTTCAGGAGAGAAATGCATGTGTTTGCAATCTTGGTTCTTGTGTCGAGCCTAGAGTAAAACCTTTGTTTTTCTACACAAGTGTCAGATCTTGCAGTGCCTGATCATTCACTGCCAATTAAAGCAGAAGGATTCTTATCTCAGTGGAAAGTGAGGCTTTTGTTGACTGAGGTCTTGAACAAAATCTTTGCTGTGATTTTAATCAGAAGTTTCACTGACTGTTCTTCCCAAAGGTTTTTGTTGTATTAATTTCTCTTAGGACACTGATTAATTAATAGGACTGTCTGTCAGCATCTTCCAATCAATGGTAAGAAGTTGGATGTCTTGTTTCAGGCTTGTCTCCATGTAAGCTTTCAAACTTACTGAGCTGTATCAGGTTGGTTTTTAGTCCTGAGTGCAGGTCTTTGAGCATCCTTCAAGTGTAACTCAGCTGGTGGGAAGGACCAGTGACCTGTTAAAGATTTGTGCATATTTCTTTGGGAGCTTCCTGCATGCAAAACAAGCTCCCTGTAGTTCATAGTCAAAGTGAAGTGTCTCTGGAGACAAATCTGAAAGCAGTGTTAGTGCACTAAGCCTTGTCAGCCTGGTTGGTGTGATAGCAGTGCCAGTCATTCAGTAAATCAGCTGTGGTATGACCTGGCCCACAGCTCTTTGCTTGATGTGCTATTTGAGTACCAGTTTCTGTTTCTAGGTGTAAATAGCAGGGAGAGACACAGGAGCCCCCGTGATGTGTGTTCTCTAAAAGGTACATTTGCAATACTCCCCAGATGCCCCCAGCTGGGTTTCAGAGCTGTTGTGGTACTGCTCTGCCACATGCCCTTGGGTACTCCTGTGGCAGGAAGGACACCTCAGAGGGGCTGCACTGGTTCTGTTTCTGGGCTTGAGTAACTTCCCAGGGAACTTTTCTTTGAAAAGGGGAGGAATTGTTTCCTTCTCGACACCTTCTCAGCCTTGGACTGAAAACAATACTCATCTGGCACTTTATATCCAAGGTTAAATCTTTCCTGGCCTGATGAAGGTGTGGAGCCTTGCACAGGCATTAACAGTGGTGCTTGCAGAACTTGGATGCTGCAGCTGTGTTCTAGAAATGTAATCTCACCATGATTACTTGTCTCAGGCTCTGTAGTGAGCAGGGACAGTAAAAAGAGGCTGATGACATTTCCCATTCTCTTCACAAAAGTTGCTTTTGGAGATGCATTTTAGTTTCATAAGTTATTGCATTTGACATCAGTGTAGTCATACTTATGTCACACAGTCCTGAAACTCCCCTGATGCAGGTCTTGACTGTTGGCATGTTAAGAAAAGCAGCTCTTGTGCAAAGGCAGACTGAGCGTGGTGGTGAATACCTGGAAGCTGGACAGCAGTCCTCCCTCTGAGAGCTGGTGGGGTGTGGGCACTGTGTGCTGTCCTGGGCTTTAAACCAGCTCTCAGCCCTTGCTGGTGGCTCTGTTCAGTGCAAGTTCTGGAGCAGCAGTGATGAGATGAGCAGTGGTTGTGCTTGTCCCCACAGCTCTGCTGCAGGAGAGTTTCCTTGGAGTGTCCCTGTCCTCACAGCTCCAGTGTGGGTGGTGGTGCCTTGAAGTGCAGTTGCAGAGCAGGGGAGTTCCCATCACCCAGAGCAGCTCTGTCCCACCACCTGGCAGCAGGAAAGATGCACAGATGTGGAGCTGTTCCATCATCTGTGGAACCAGTAATCCAGTTCCTCAATGATTTATGTTTTATCTTTGCTTCTTGATGGAAACAGGTTGGAAAGATTTTGGGTGCTGGCGTATCAAACTGCATAATCTTCACTTTCTGGTGGAAGTAAAGGCCAAAGAAAATGCCTTAAACAGTCTGTCTGTTGAATCTAGGAGTGTTGTGCAGGGATCTGTAATAGCCTGAGGTATGGCTTAGCAGGATTATCAAGCTTTGGACTCCCTGAGGTTCCCTTTGTCGTTTGTGGCTGTGCAGTGGCACGTCCTGGTTTGCTTTGTGCAGGAACTGTGCTCCCCCTGCATGCCCAGCACTGCTCCCCTGCCTTGCTCCTGCACTGACCTGACAGTGTGCATCCCAAAAAGGGGTGAGAACAGGAGATTCAGCTGTGTTTCTAAGCTGACACAGACAGTGAGTCGTGTTAAAGGAGAAGTAATGTGTGAGTGCCTGAGCTTCAGGGCTTTAGTTCCCAAAATGTGAGCGCAGAACAACTTGTCTCAGCAGACCATGACCCTTGAGAGTGCTCTGCTGCTTTGGGGCTGCAGCTGCTGGCTGCTCAGCGTGTCTTGGTGAAACAGGGGTTTCCTCTTGCCTGTCACTCCAGTGGCAAACACAGAATGGCACTCACAGGGGCTTTGCACATACTCTGTGAAAGGAGAAGTGAAATACTTGATGTTTTTATTTCCCTCCCAGTGGAAGGTGGGTAAGTAGACCTTTGTGCCAGGATTAGTGCCTTTTAATTATGACATGACAGGTTTTATTCTGTTAAAGGCAACATGTATCATTGTGATAATTTTGAAGTGCTTCAATAAAGTGTTGTTGAAAACCACTTTTTTGCAGATTCATCTGTAGTAGGATAGCTGATTTATTATTGTTAGAAATATCTAAGAACCCTCATTACCTAATTTAACTACATAACTTCATGTGGAGAGTGACTTGTGCTCAGTGGGGGCAACTTTGAAAGGCCAGGCTGTGAAATTCCCATTCCTGATTATTTTTGTTCTGGAAGCGTTGGTTGGTCTCATTTGTGCTTCTCTCTGAAAATTACCTAATTTAACTACATAACTTCATGTGGAGAGTGACTTGTGCTCAGTGGGGGCAACTTTGAAAGGCCAGGCTGTGAAATTCCCATTCCTGATTATTTTTGTTCTGGAAGCGTTGGTTGGTCTCATTTGTGCTTCTTTCTGAAAAGACCCATTGGGTTGAAGTTCCTGAACCATATTATTCAACAAGCAGAGCAAACACATCAATAGAGGAAGAAAAAGTTGTGGTATGTGAAATTTAAAGCTGAACTTGATTTTCTCAAGAGTCTCAAGAGCGTTAAGGTGCTTTTGTGTAATTGTGGTAATTTGGGGTGTGAATACTTCAATCTTTGCAACAAGAAGGAATTTTCAATAATGAATTCCCTTCTTGGTTTGGGTAACATTTAAAAGATCCATGAATTCTGCAGACAGAGGAAAGGAACTGAAAGATTGTCCAGGCTAGAGGATTTTATCCAAAGTCAGCATCCAGAAGTCTGGCTGGACCACTGAGTTGTAATGCTTGGTTTGGATTTATTAATTCTACTGTTGCTGTTACAATAATTGGAAAACAAAGACCTGACTTCTGAACTGCTCTCAAATGCAGGCTGAAGACAGATCATTATTGTCTGCTTGTCTGTCTGTGCATAACAAGTCCTTTATTCTTTTTCTTCTGCAGGCATTTTTCACGTTCTGTCCCATTTCCTTGTAACAAACCAGGCACTTTGGTAAAAGCCCCAGCGTGGAAGGGCAGCTCAGCTCAGTGCCAAGTGAGCAGTTCATCACTCCGATGCTCTTGGGGTTGCTGGGCTAGCTCAGAGCTGGGTTTCTTTACCTCCCCCACCTGTGGTTTCTTGCTGTTCTTTGGCTTCTCTTCAAGAGGTTTGGTTTTAGCAGTACTGCCCGTGTGTTCACCCACATCCACAGGCACACCTGGCATGTGTCAGCTCTTTCTGCAGCTGCCCCGGAGCCAGCTGCCACCAGTGCCGCGGGCACAGCTGGCGCTCTGCTCCACTGCGGGATGGAAATCCCCGTGTCACCTCCTCCAGGATCCTGGCTGGGAGCGTGGCTTGGCTTCGTCCCACCGCAGCTCCCGGGATCGCGCTCTGGGGCCCGGGGCAGGCCCGAGGAGCCGCGGGTCACGCGTGTCACAGCATCCCAGGGTCCCCGAGGCTGGCTCCGAGCCGCTTTAGGGCAGGCGGCACTCGCCACCTACGGAGCCGCTCGGGAAATGCAGGGGCAGCCCGGTCCCGCCCGGGAAGGGACATTTCCTCCCCAGGCACAGCATCCCAGGGTCCCTGAGGCTGGCACGGCCCTCCCAGCCCAGGCAGTGCCAGCTGTGCCCAGCCCGGAGCCCTGAGTGCCACCTCCAGGGGACACCTGCGGGCATAGGCTCTCCAAAGCTCCCTGGGCAGTGCCAAGGCCTGAGCAGCCTTTCCACGGAGGAATTCCTGCTGCTGTCCAGCCGCTGTCACGGGCACGCCGGGACCTCTCCGGAGCTGGGGCGTGGCCACGGTCCGGCCTGACCCTGCGCCGTGCCACGACAGCCCCGCGCCGCCCCGCCCCTTTAACGCCGCCGGGCGCTGCCTTTGAGTGACACACCGCGCGGCCAATGGCCGGCGGCCGCTCCCGCCTCCGCGCCGGCTACACCAATAGCAGCGCGGCATGGGCGGGCTTTGTGCCGCTCCCAGCCCGTGTTTTTCCTTCCGCTCTTAAAGGGGCCGCAGCGCGGCGCGGGCGGCGCCGCTGCGCTATGCGCGGGCGGCCATGCGATGGCGGTCGGTGGTGCTGGGGCTGCTGCTGCTGCGGCTCGGGCTGCAGGCGCTGCTGGCGCTGCTGCCCGCGCTGGCCCGCGGGCTCTGCCTGCACCCGCGCCTGCCTTGTCCCGGCCCGCGGCCCTCCCGTGGGCGCTGCAGGCCGCGGGGCCCGGCTGTGGGGCGCGGCGGCGGGCGGCGATGAGTACGAGCGGCGCTACAGCGGCGCCTTCCCGCCGCAGCTGCGGGCGAGGCTCCGGGACGCGGCCCGGGGCATGTTCGTGTTCGGCTACGACAGCTACATGGAGCACGCCTTCCCCCGCGACGAGCTCGACCCGCTGCACTGCCGCGGCCGCGGGCCCGACCGCCGCGACCCGTGAGTGCGGCCGGGGAGCGGGGCCGGGGGGGAACGGCTGCTGAGGGGATGGGGGAGAATGGCTGCTGAGGGGACGGGGAGAATGGCTGCTGAGGGGACGGGGGTGAATGGCTGCTGAGGGGATGGGGGAGAATGGCTGCTGAGGGGATGGGGGGGAATGGCTGCTGAGGGGGCGGGGGGAAGGGGTGGTGGGGGGGGG